CAGGAGGCTGGAGATGAAGGTGACACTGAGCCTTGCTGAGCTGCGGACCCCAAAGCCGGGGCTCAGGCTCTTCCGGCACTCATGTGCCAGAACCCAGCCTGGCAGCGGGCTACGAGGTAAAGTCGTTTCAGGAAGGCCTCCCTCATCTTCCCTCTTTTTCCTGAACGCTGTATGACCCTATACTGCTCCCCTCAATAGAGTTCTTATAGCTCAAGGGCCAGGCACTGGGCTAAGTCCTGCATGCAAGTTCTCTCATGACACACACTAAGCCTTTGGCATAGCCATAGGGAGGTCCCCATTTCACAGACTGGGACACTGAGGCACAGAATGCTTCGGTCATTTGCCCAAGGATACGCAGCTGTAAGAGGTAGCGTGCCAGGACGCACACCCAGGCTTCCGTCCCTCTCTGCTCGTTGTTTGACCCCCTCCGGCCTGCCAGAGCCCAAGTGGTCCAGTTCTGTGAGGCCTGAGCAGGTGTGGAATCATTGCTTTGGGGGACAGGTGAGGGAAGCCAGAAGCAGCTGGTCTCCAGAGAGACACACAGGGACTCATGAGCAGCCGAGGTGCACCGGCTGCCAGCTGGATGGAACAGATGACCTGGGCCCCAGCCAAGGATTCCCCACAATTAGCAGCCTGGGGGTGTGGAGTCAGGCGGGGCTGCCTCTACACCTCAGCCCCGACCAGCTGGTCTCTAGGTCCATTAACCTTTATACGCTTGCTTTCTTCTCTACAAAACGGGATCATAATTTTAAACCCACGGGATTGTCATGGGTGGCGGGGGAGGGGCACAGAATAACTCGGGTCCAGCACCAAGTGTGTGCTGAGTGTAAACACTTTCTTCCCTAGCCCCATGGGGGGCCGCCACCTCCAATCTCACCCAGCCCCGGCCACAAGAGCTCTTCTTAGCAGCTTGAGATAGAGGTTGAAGACAATCCCCTCTTGTGGCTTGGGGGGCGTCAGGCAAAGGTCTGTGCCGCTCTCCCTGGGTCCCTGCTCACCACCTGGAGGATGGGGTCCGGGAAGCATGGGAGTCCCTGGGGGAGCTCTGGGGCCAGGGCAGGGCCTTGCAGGAGGCAGCCCCGTGAGGACAGTGGAGGCAGCAGGCCTCGGAGACTCCCCGTGGGAGGGCACAACAGAGTGAAAAGGGGGCAGGGAGAAGGAATTTGAAACAGATAATGAAAAGCTATTATCTTGAGCTAATATGTCTTGGGTCACAGTCTCCGTCCGCCATTTAACTTTGTGATGTTGGTCCCATTACAGAAACAGCCCCCTGAGCCTGGGTTTCCTCATCCATCAGCTGGTGTCAATCATTCTTCTCTCAGGTCTGTTCTGAGGATTCAGTGAGAAGGTCTGAGAAGGGGCTTGGGGCACTGGTCAGACGTTGTTATTTGTAAAGTTCGCCTCACATGCAACAGAGCGGGGCACACCGTGCCGCTGGCCGAGGGTTAATGGGACCAGGAAGCTCCAGCGGCACCTCTTTTTACCCAGACCTTTTTCCGTTGCCTTTAAATTTCCCTGACTCTGGGGCGCCTGGGTGGCTCAGTGGGTTAAGCCTCTGCCTTTGGCTCAGGTCATGATCTCAGGGTCCTGGGATCGAGCCCCACATCGGGCTCTCTGCTCAGCAGGGAGCCTGCTTCCCTCTCTCTCTCTCTCTGTCTCTGCCTGCCTCTCTGTCTACTTGTGATCTCTCTCTGTCAAATAAATCAATAAAATCTTTAAAAAAAAAAATTTCCCTGACTCTGCTCCTTGGAGGAAGTGGATCTGAGGTCTGGCCTCCAGTCTCCTCGTTTGGCTGCCTGTCGCATAAGTCCTTACCTGTGTCCAGACCGGTGGTCCTTGCTGAGCACTGGGCGGACGACCCTGGGTTTGCATACAAATGTGGCGAGCCGTCAGGAGACTTGTGCCCCTGGTTTGTTGACCCCCACACTGGTGATGGGAGCCTGCTGACGGTCAGGGTGGTTGCCTCCGCTCCTTGTCCTGGGGCCTGTCCTCAGGGGCCCACTGACCTTCGGCAGCTTGGGGTCTGGTTTGGACAAAGGGCTTTGGCGAGTATGTCCTGTGCGGTGGGACAGAAGCTTACTTCTTCCTCCCTGTTGTTTTGGCTTTCTTGACTTTCTTCCTCTCACTCAGCTGTCTCCGATTAGAGGATGTTGCTTCTCTTCGCCTCTTCTTTTTTTTTTCTTTTTAGAGATTTTATTTATTTATTTGACAGACAGAGATCCCAAGTAGGCAGAGAGGCAGGAAGAGAGAGAGAAGGAAGCAGGCTCCCCCATGAGCAGAGAGCCTGATGTGGGGCTCGATCCCAGGACCCTGAGATCGTGACCTGAGCTGAAGGCAGAGGCTTAACCCACTGAGCCACCCAGGCGCCCCTCTTCGCCTCCTTTTCTAAAGACAAGGGTGACGAGTGAACGCTTGGGTTCGGCCAGTGAAGCTCTGACTTTTAGGGAGGTGCTAGAAAGTAGGAAGCCATCTGGTTTAATCGGTGAAGCCTAGAATTTTGTGGAAGAAAAGACGTGGAGGCCATACTCTAGGCTCATTTGGTTTGTTCGTTGGGGCAGCTTTTGGGATCTTTGAATAACGCCGGCCGCATTCTAAGTGAAAAATAGGGAAGTGACTGATCCGCCATATGCAGCTCGTTGGGCTCTATTCTCCAAAATGGGACAATCTTTTGTTTTTTTTCCAACACTGCTTGGCCACAATATTCGTTAGAGTCTCAAGAAAAATGACCAACCAATGGACCCATACATTGTACCACTTTGCAGTTAGATTTGTGTTGTAAAAAAGATTTGGGAATTGGCCCTTTAAGATCCTGTTTGCATTTTGTTTATGTATTGGTGTGTGTTCATATGTGTCCTAAGTGGAGCTAGTTTCTGTAAGTCTGCATGGTGTTGCTACGATTAATCTGTACAAGAGTTCTATTTCGCCCGTTAAAAAGTAAGGGCTTATTAGAATTGGACATTCTAAAACTCAAAGACAGAAACTAACCCAAGTGTTTTTTCACATGATCTTGGAAAATATTCAGTATTAAAACTAACTTAAGGTTGCTAGTTTAATTAAAATGGACTTGTGTTTAGAATTAAAAGCGTTAAATACAAAACTTTTATTCGGACTGTGTTTATTGAAAGTCAGGTAAGTTCATCTTCTCTCCATTGCAAAATTTGTCCAAAACAGGGAGGAAACCAACACCTTAAGACTTTGTCAAATGTCTTGTAAAGTTTAAGGCTCTGAACCTGGAGAAGACTGGCAGGTAGTTTACCGTGAGGCCAAAAACAACAGGTAATTTTCAAGACTTGCCAATATTTACAGAGACCTTTACCATTTGGGCTGAAGCTTTCCCTCGCCCTTCCCAGAAGGCCTCAGAAGTTGTCAAAACCCTTCCAAGCAAAATCCTTCCAAGGTTTGGATTGCTTCTAACAACTCAGACTGTGAGATGACCACCCAGCAGCGTCTGTGCTCAAAGCCACACAGGTGTGCCCCACGCCTTGGGCAGTCGATGGCAACACATGCTTCCTGGAGCCCCCAACAGGCTGGAAAAACAGAAAAGGGCTGTGGCAAAGATATGCTAGGAAACTCACTTGGGAAAAAGGTGTGTTGGCTTCTCAGTTCTCGGTAGGAGTGTCCCCCGCCCCCGAGTGGGCGTGATTTAAGGCTCTATGTTACACAGTTACACTCTCATGACTTAGGAGTTGTGGGCGGGGCTCCCATCAGGCAGCTGTTATGAGCAGGCACACTGAGTGGGCCGGTTCACTGCCAGCAGGCGGATGTGCCCCCAGAGATATGCCCTTACGCCGCAGGAATTCCAGGGACGTGGGGTCCCCTAGGACCTGCAGAGCGAGCATGTGGCGGGCCAGCTCCAGCCCCCTTGCCCGGGACCTTGTGGAATGCAGTGAGCCTGGAGGGAAGGAAGCGGTGCGTTCCTCACACTCGAGTTAGGGGAACCCACGGGTTCCATGCAGCCCGTCCACAAGGAGGACCCGGCATGGAGCACCCTGTGGCAGTCACCCCCAGGAAGACCTGATTGTCTGGGTCAGGAGAGCCGGTCTGAGGAAACAGGGGTGTACAAGCAGCCTGGTTCCAACCAATCTCCTCAGAGGCTCTCAGGAGAACAGAGTCTGAGCGCTCATAACCAAAGTACACAAATCTCGGTCCTGCAGAATGCCGGGTTTCTACCTGGAACTGAAGAATCTTTCTAAAGGTGGGCAGAAAGTTTCCATCCCTTTAACTCTGGTCCTCACCCCATCACAGCAGCAAGTAACTGGAGAGTTAACCAGAAAGTCGTCCCCATTCCCTCAAGGCTGAGGAATGATCAAAGAACAGTGGGGACTGGAACCCGTAACCAAAGGGGACTGATCGCAGCTGCAGATTAGGAAACTCCGCTGCAACTTTTGAACTCAGAAATTTCTCATTTGCCTTCAGAGTTCCCTGAATTTCCTCCTCAGGGAGGTGGATTTGAGGCTTGCCCTCCCATCTCCCCATCTGGAGGCCTCTTGAACCTTCTCCTTGAGGCTGCCTACCTCGTGTCTGTGTGATTGTCTCTGCTGGGCATCAAGCAGATGAGCTCGAGTTCAGTTACAATAACACAAGATTGTTGCTCACCCATTTATTCAGACACTTGGACTGAACACCTGCTCTGTGCCAGGCACCGCTATAGGCACTAGAAACCAAGCCCTGAGTATGTCCAACAAGAGCCGTGCTTTCCCAGGGCTCCCATCCAGGGAGAATGAACAGCAAACGGCTGAACAAGCATCATCTATGGAACAACAAGTGCTCCGAGCGCACTGGAACTGGATGGGGTGGGAGCAGGTGATTGCCTCCACCTGTGCCAGCAGAGGGGCTCAGGATAGTAAAGGGTGTCAACCAGTCATGGTCAAAGGCAGAGATCTGTGGAAGACTGAGAATCCACCTTCTTTCCATCCTCTCCTCCCTTAGCGGTGGCCTGGCCGGACATCCCTCAGGGTGTGCGCCCACAGAGCCCCTGATGTAATGTGTTTGGTTTCCAGGAGAGCTGCACCCTCGGCCGAGTTCTCTGTGGACAGGACACGCCACTTGATGTCCTTCCTGACCATGATGGGCCCCAGCCCCGACTGGAACGTGGGCCTGTCTGCGGAGGATCTGTGCACCAAGGAGTGCGGCTGGGTCCAGAAGGTGGTGCAGGACCTGATCCCCTGGGACGCGGGCACTGACAGCGGGGTGACCTATGAGGTGGGTGAGCTCTGCGGTGGTGACGGGCGACCCTTCCCGGGTGCTTCCTCTTCGCCTGGCCCTGCGCTGTGGGGGGCTTGACATAAAGGATGTAGATGAATGCCCAGGGTGGTCGGGCAGGCCGGCATCGGCTCACCCTCACATATCACATCCAATGTGACCCACACAGCTGGCCATGAGGCCACGGGAGGGGTCAAAGAGCAGTTTCTAGGTAAGCACAGGGCAAGAGAAGGGGTGAGAATGGGGAACCGAAGTTGATGTCCATACGTTAGACTAGGCCAGATTCTGGAGGTTTCCAGACAGCCAGCCAGGTTAAGGAGTTTGGATTCTGTCCTGAATGTTAAAATGCTTCAGCTGTGGTCAGCACGCCAACTTGCATGGAAATGTGAAGCCCTTAGAAAACCAGTGGCAGGACCATCTAGAAGGGACACTGATAAGCTATGGTTTGTGGGCCAAATCAGGACTACCACCTGAGTTGTAAATTCAAACCCAGCCACCCCAATTACATGTTGTCAGGGGCTGCTTTCTCACTACATCAGCTGAGTGGAGTCGTGGTAGCCGACCCAGGAGGGCCCACAGAGTCTTGAAATGTTTACCATCTGACGCTTTATGGACTCATTTGCTAATGCCTGGTCTAGTAGAAAGAGCTTTGGATTGAGGCCAGCCTGGGTCAACTGTCTCCTGGCTGGGATGACCTCTCTGAAATCTTTTCTTCATCAGGATGGAATCTTGTGTACCTGGGAGATCTGAAAGCACAGGTCACCAATTTCCTTGCACGGTGCATAGTGGGGATAGAATTGCATCAACAGCCATAGGGGTTACATCTGTTGTGAAATCTCCATCACCACTTTTGTTCTGATCCTATTACAATCCAATTGCTTTTGTGGTTTTTAACTCCTTTGTTTCCCATACTCTGTATCTGTGTTCCACCCCCCTTCCCCCACAGTCACCCAACAAGCCCACAATTCCCCAGGAGAAAATCCGGCCCTTGACCAGTCTGGACCATCCTCAGAGTCCTTTTTATGATCCAGAGGGCGGGTCCATCACTCAAGTGGCCAGAGTTGTCATCGAGAGAATCGCCCGGAAGGTAATGGCGTAGAGTGCACCCTGGTACAGACCCTTCCCACCAGGAGTGTAAGCAGACTGTACCCCTTTCTGCTCAAGAATCGTGGGGTCCCTTGCATATTCCAGAATCTAGAACTCCTGGACCTCCCAAGGTGTTTTTGTTTTTGTTTTTGTTTTGTTTTAAAGATTTTATTTATTTAACAGACAGAGATCACAAGTAGGCAGAGAGGCAGGCAGAGAGAGAGGAGGAAGCAGGCTCCTTGTTGAGCAGAGAGCCCGATGTGGGGCTCAATCCCAGGACCCTGGGATCATGACCCGAGCCGAAGGCAGAGGCTTCAACCCACTGAGCCACCCAGGCGCCCCCTCCCAAGGTTTCTAAGCATGTGAATTATTCACAAGGTATGAATGAGCAAAATAAACCTAAGGGTAAGGTCGTTCTCAACTGAATGACTCAATCCAGACAATTAGGTTTTATTGTGAGTTCCACAGTTAATTACTAATACCTGCCATGGGTCAGGAAGTGGGAAGCTGCGGCTTTCTTGCCATTTCTCTTTCAGTCCAATGGTAAAAGTTGGCTCAGAACTCCACCGTGGCCTGGGATTTGTACATGGGGCGGACATCCAATTTTATGACCCCCTCCTTCCCCGACACATGCCATTCTTTAATGTGAGCCCTTCTTTCGCAGGGGGAACAATGCAACATTGTGCCTGATAATGTCGATGATATTGTAGCAGATTTGGCTCCAGAAGAGAAAGATGAAGGTATGTAGTCGTCCTTCGTCCTTCATAAACTGACAGTACCTTTTGGGAAAGCAGTTTTCTGAACAGGTGTTAAAAGCTACAAAAACATCTGGTCCTTTGACCTGTTAATCCTGTATTTGAGGACTTCTGCATGGAAGATCATCCAAAATAAGGCCACGACTGGGCACAGGTAGAAGGGAGTTGGTGTAAGTGGGATATGGGAATATGTGTCCACAGGTATCGGGCCTTTGGAGGGGGCGTCATGGTATCCCCAGCATGCTTGGCTTTGTCACACTGGCCTGTGTGCCCGGCGTGGACGCATCCACTTCCCCAGTGAGGAAAGGGATCCTACCCTTGGGGGAGGGGCAAAGCTGAGGGTGGAGCCTGTTTCCTCATGGGATCTAGAGTCACACAACCAGGGCTCTTTCTGGGGCCTTGAACAAGATGCTCCCATCCCACCACATTGTCCTCCCCGTAAAATGGGGATGATCACGGAACGGGCCTTGTTGAGAGTTGTTGTAAGAATCCAATGGGATGAAATATGGAAGGTTCTAAAATGCTGTTGGCGTGTCGTACATGGTGGGAATGCGGGCTGCCCTGAGGTGACCCCTGTGACAGGGTCATTGGGAAGAAGGGGCTAGAAATGAAAAGCCCTTCACGTATTGAGGGGAAGGGACAGTAAGAGGTCTTCCCTGTTGTTTAGATATTATTGCAATGATTAAAATAGAATTCTTCAAGGCAAGTAGCAGCTTCTACCCCAACAGTGAGTACCCAGGTTTGCTAAGGCCAGTCACGTGGCAGGGATCTCCTTACCCCCACATGAGCTTGTGTGGGGGAGAGGGCCAGCCCCAGTGTCCGCAGGCTCCCAGGGGAAAACCTGTTATGTATTCGTTCCAGATGACACCCCTGAAACCTGCATCTACTCCAACTGGTCCCCGTGGTCTGCCTGTAGCTCCTCCACCTGCGACAAAGGCAAGAGGATGCGGCAGCGCATGCTGAAGGCGCAGCTGGACCTCAGTGTCCCCTGCCCAGATACCCAGGACTTCCAGCCCTGCATGGGCCCGGGCTGCAGTGATGAAGGTAAGCGTGCAGCCCCGGGGGCGCCAGTGGCGGCAGAGCCAGAGGAAGGGAGGGGCTAGCTGCCTCTGCCAGCCCCTCGTACCTGATCGGTGTCCCTAGGAGGGCACCAGGAACCTGCCTGTCATGGCCAGTGGGGACCACTAGGGAAGACCCCCCAGCTCCAACAGTGTCTTGGGAGCTCTAAAAACCTGTAGGTCTTAGAACATCAGAAGAATTCTTGATATTATCCACCAACTCCCTCCCAGCATGGAATCAGTGACCTACGGGTCACTAAAGAGCTAGCAAACATCGTATGACAAATCTAGAACTATGAAGCGCCGCCTGCTTCCCCTTCAATCCAGTGTCTTCTGAAGGAAACGGGAACAAGTTGGCCACCATTGAATCCATCACCCTGATTCTGTGTCATTCAGGGACCTTCATGTCTCCCTCCCACCTGAATGAGAGCACCTACTTCTTTTGTCAGGACCGCTGGGCTAACTGCAAGAATTCTGTCTGCTACTGCTCAAAAATCAGACCTGAGCTAGGAGCTCGCACCACTGCTGTGGTGATGGCTCAAGCTTCAGAATGGCACCGAGCTGCCTGCCGTGCTGAAGCCTGCTTCCCAGAGCACGACCCCGCTCCCCACCTGGACAGATCTAGACTCTCACGGGACTTTGATCTTGACTGTCTCAGAGGTGCCTTGAGGCAACAGGAAGGGAGGCAGAATTGGGGCTGGTTCATGGCAGGAAGAAAACCACTTCCAAGCCGAGGATAATTGAAGGAAGCTTCTCCCACCGCAGGTCATTCACCCTCTGGCCCTTCCCGGGGATGGTCTTAAACACTCCCACAGCGGTCTATTGCTGTTCCTGCCTTTGGTAAGGGCCTTCGGAGGGGAGCGAACCCTTCTATCTCCATGTATTCTGGGTATTAATCCCTTAGCAGATTCAGGATTTGCAAATATGTTCTCTCCTTCTTTAGGTTACCTGTTCCCTCTTGACTGTCCTTTTGTACAAGTTTTGAATTTTCCTGAAATCTGGTTTGGCTCTTTCTTTGGTTGCCTGTGCCTTGGGTGTCCTGTCCAAGAAATCGTTGCTAAACTTAATGTCATGAAGGTTTTGCCCTGTGTTTTCTCCTAAGAGCTTTTTGGTATTAGTTCTGTTTAGGTCTCTGGTCCATTTCAAGGTAATTTTTGACTATGATTTTAGGTAAGAGTCTAACCTCATTCTTAAATCGGTGGAGATCCAAATTTCCCAGTACCATCTGTTGAAGAGACTGTCCTTTCTCTACTGAATGGTCTTGGCACCCTTGTCAAATCATTTGCCCATTGACATGAGACTTTGTTTCTAGCTTCGCTCTCTATTCTAGTCCATTGGCCTGTATGTCTGTTCTTACACCAACACCACCGGGTTTTGATTCCTTGTAGCTTTGTAGTTAAGTTTTGAAATCAGGAGGAGTGGAGTTTCTTCAGAGCAAGGTATACCTGTTAGTACGTACTCAGGTAGATGAGGACCATATTCTACCTTCCTGGGGTAACATCTTTCTTACCAGGTTCTGGAAAGCCTGAACTGTGGCTTGTAGAGCCCTGTTCCCTTAACCATTAATTTTTTTAAAGATTTTTTTTTTAATTTATTTGACAGATGTCCCTTAACCATTATTACACTGGAACATAATGTTCTCATTGGTAGTGTGTGCTACCTTTTGTTATCCTTGTCTCTGGGTCTAACGTGTGGTTCCAATGGGGATTTCTTAACTACACACACCACTGGCACTATCCGTAGGTTTAATAACCATGCCTAGGCATTACCCATGTGCAAGTGACAGTCACGGACATAGGCAGGCTGGACTCACACTCAATCCTTTCTAGCTTCACCTCCTACTACCACGTACATGCACTCTCTATACAGAGGTGTTTGCGTAAGCTTTCCCGTCACCTTAAGTGCAGATACCCTTTACCCAACGAAAGTATACTTAGATGTGTCCTTTTGTGTGAAATCTTCTCCCGTACTCCAAGAAGGAGTGCATTTTTCCCCCTCTCTGCTCAATTCCCTGGGCTTACCTTTGTTGTCCTGCTTTCCATACCTGGAATTATTGTGCCTATCTCTTTCGAAAATGGAACACGATCCAGCTCTTACACATCTTTTTAATTTAAGAGCATACCATGAAGCATTCAGAGCTTTCAGTAAATCTTTATTGACAGGAATAAATGGATAGATGAAAGACTTCATTGTTTTTTGGATTTTTTTTTTTTTTTTAAGAACTAAGCAGGCAGACACACATGCACACCCACCCGCTCACCTCTGTGTTTCCACCAGGAGTGGCACCCCCACCACTACTTGGAAACAGGACTACCAAGCCATGCTGAGAGCTTTGATGATCTTTTCCACCAACCTCCAGAGTGTCTACTATATGATCAAGGCCTTTGCTAACACCTAGTGATGGGAGCAAAGCCATATACGCCCAAGATATCAACACAGCAGACTGGTTATGTCCCCTTCTCTAGCACACACAGACAAGTCCTCGCCCCCCACCATTTATTCCCCCATTATAACCAGCCTCTGTAGAGGCAGTGAGCGGTCTGGGGTCACTGAGTATAATCAACTGTTTGGGTATAAATCCATCCCGCGTCCATTCTCAGGTCCCTGTGTCCAAAGGCCAGTCACAATCTTCACCCTCAGTAATCAAATTCTCATTAATTTTTCTAGACTGGGAACTGGCAGCTTTAGACAACTAAAAAAAAATCTCTGGTTCCTTGGAGCAAAAGAGCTTACCCTGTAGCTCAGAATATATATTAATATCTTTCCAGCACTGTCCAGTAGAAGTTTCTATGATGGGCAAGTTCTGTATCTGTACTGGCCAAAATAGTAGCCACTCATCACACATGGCTACTGTGTACTTAAAATGTAATTTGTGACAGAGGAAGTGAATTTTTCATTTTATTTAATGGTCTTAGATGTAGGATAATCCTAGCCCATGCAGCCATGTAACTGTAGATTATGACATCTTAAATTTTACTTTATGTACAATAAAACATTCCTTTACCCATCCAGGCAGCTTTCAGATTTGCTCGAGTCCTAAGTGTCCCTATGTACCTGGGAGGCCTGCCTTCTTGGAGAACAACTCCTGGTTTCAAGATGTGTATACCTTTTCAGTTCCTGTCCATCCTCAACTGCCTGACTCCCCTTGAGTAGCTATCCTGTTTCATTTTCTTTTTAGGTTTAATTCCAGGATATTTAACATACAGCGTTATATTAGTTTCAGGTGTACAAGAGTGATTCAGTAATTCTGTACGTTACACAGTGTTCATTGTGATAACTCTGAGTCCCCTTCACCTATTTCACCTGTCCCCGTCCCCTTCCCCTCTGGTGACTGTCAGTTTCTCCATAGTTAAGAAACAAACCAAATAAGACTTCTTTTTCCCTTTTTGTTTCTGAAATTCCACATTAAGGGAAATCCTCTGGGATTTGTCTGACTTATTTTGTCTGGCATTCTACTCCCCACTTCCATCCATGTTGCTGCAACTGGCAAGGTTTTACTCTTATGGCTGAAAAATATTCCATTAAATACATATCCCACATCTTCTTCATCCATTCACCAAGTGATGGACACTTGGGTTGCTTCCAGAAGTTGGCTATTATAAACACTACAATTCATATAGGAGTGCATATATCCTTTCAAATTAGTGTTTTTTTCTAATTTGGGTAAATACCCAATAGTGTGATGACTGGATCATACGATCGTTCTTTTTCAGGAGACTCTATACGGTTTTCCGCAGTAGCTACACCAGTTTGCAATCCCACCGACAGTCCATGAGGCTTCCCTGTTCCTCCACATCCTTGCCAACACTTGCTCCTTATATTTTTTATTTTCGCCATTCTGACAGGTGTGAGGTTAATAGCTCATTGTAGTTGTGATTTGCGTTTCTCCCAGGGCATCTTTTCATGTGTCTGTTGGCTATCTGTTGGTCATCTTTGGAGACATGTTTGTTCATGTCTTCTGCCCATTTGCTAACTGGATTATTTTGGGGGTGTTAAGTTATTACTATATCTTGGATAGTAACCTTTTATCAGAGAGATCATTTGCAAATATTTTCTCCCATTCTATAAACTGCCTTTTTATTTTGTTGTTTCCTTTGCTGTGCAGAAGTTTCTATTTTGATATAATCCCAATAGTTTACTTTTGCTTTTAATTCTTGCCTCAGGAGACCTATCAAGAAAAATGTTGATATAGCGATTATCAGAAACTACTGCCTGCGCTCCCTTCTAGGATTTTGTGCTCTCGGGTCTCACATTTAGGTCCCTTATGCATTTTGAGTTTGTGCATGGTGTAAGGTAAGTGTTCAATTCCCTTGTTTTGCATGTAGCTGTCCAACTTTCCCAACACCATTTATTGAAGAGACCGTATTTCCCCTTCAAGACCACGTACTAGCGCAAAAATAGACCTATAGATTAGCGGAACAAGACAGAAAACCCAAAAACAAACCCATGATTATATGGTGAATTAGTCTTGGACAGAAGAGGCAAGAACAGGCGATGGGAAAGCTGGCCAGTTGCTTCCGGCTCCCTGTCCCGGAGAGCTGGGCGCACAGGCCCACAGCGTCCGCTCGTGTGTTGCAGACGGCTCCACCTGCACCATGTCCGAGTGGATCACCTGGTCACCCTGCAGCATCTCCTGCGGCACGGGCATGCGGTCCCGGGAGCGGTATGTGAAGCAGTTCCCTGAGGACGGCTCTGTGTGCACACTGCCCACCGAGGAGACGGAGAAGTGCACAGTCAATGAGGAATGCTGTGAGTAGGGTCGCCCAGGGAGTGCGGGGAGGGGGAGGGCAGTGGCCGAGGCCGCAGACGCCACCCCAACAGGGCTGGCCTCCCAGCTCCCAGCAGCTGCCTGATGACCGAGTGGGGCGAGTGGGAAGAGTGCAGCGCCACCTGCGGGATGGGCATGAAGAAGCGGCACCGCATGGTCAAGATGAGCCCGGCAGACGGCTCCATGTGCAAGGCTGAGACATCCCAGGCGGAGAAGTGCATGATGCCCGAGTGTCGTGAGTGGGTGTGGGGCTGGGACTGGTGTGGAGGATCCCAGCACCCTTACTACCTCCCCAGCAGCAAGACAGGAGGCTGGGTGGGTGCGGGGAGAAAACAGGGTCCTCTGTCCACCAAGCAGACCCAAAGAGAGGGGCCTCCCTTGAGGAACACTGAGCAATGCTGAGATGGCAAAATGGTGGCGTCTGGAAAGCATCCACCTGCAGCTGTGTTGTATAGGACCCCAGAGGACCTTGGTTGTGGGGGAGGGGTGGAATAAGAACTTCCAGGCGGGACATCCAGTCCACAGGTCATAGGTCCCCACTCTTGTTCTGCATTGGCCTTGCCTGGCCTCATAAACCATTACAACCTCAGCTTTATGCAAAAATACGCACAGGCCCACAAACCCGTACACAAGCATACATAGGCACACAAGCGTCCGGACATTCGAAGATTTTAGCGAGTGTCCAAAACTTTACTGCATGGTTCTTAGGGATTGGGTGCTGTTTTGGGCGAGGACTTGGGTATTCATATTACGGAGTTACTTCTGCGGTCCTGACCCCCAGGGGAGATGCAGGAGTGACAAGAGCCGTAGTCTACTGAGCCACTTCCTGCTGTGTGGGGTCCCTTGGGGCATTTGAAACCATCAGTCCCTTTCACTAGACTCCAGGGGCCAGAGTGGGGGGACAGGAGATGGGGGGGACAAGGAGAGCAGAGAAGGTAAAAGGAGCCTGTTCTCAGGGGCAAACCTGGCTCTTGGCCTAGATACCATCCCGTGCTTGCTGTCCCCGTGGTCTGAGTGGAGTGACTGCAGCGTGACCTGCGGGAAGGGCATGCGGACCCGCCAGCGGATGCTCAAGTCTCTGGCCGAACTCGGGGACTGCAATGAGGAGCTGGAGCAGGTGGAAAAGTGCATGCTGCCCGAATGCCGTAAGTCCTGGGGCTCCTGGTGCCCCCCCACCACACCCCCTTTCCTGTTACCCAGCGCTGGGTAGGGGTCCTCCTACCAGGTCCTGTAGTACAGCTGTCTGCTGGGGAGAAAGAGCATGGGCTTTGGGTCTCTGTGTTAGCAAAGCTGTTGAACTCAGTCTCCTCAGCAGCAAGAGGGGATCCCACTACCGGCTACAAAACACCCAAACTACACACTGAACACTTAGCACAGACTCAAGATGCCTTATCACATAGGGCCTGTCTCCCCGCCCGCCCCACCCCAAAACCCTCAGAACTGTCTGATCCATGAGTTTTCCATGTTTTTTACTTCTCTTTCTTCTCCCTGGGACCATTTACCCATGACCAGAGGGTGGACATTAAATCAGTGACTCCTATACATTTGCAGCCTTGCCAAGACGAGCCATGAAAGACTCGATGCCTGACCCCAACTCCCCCAACCCCCACCCTTGTGATGAGCTGTATTTCGCAGGTACTAACCTCCAAGGAGAGAGAGCCCATTTCTCTTTTAGGAGGTAGAAAATCAAACACACTTGCTAGGATCTGTTTTCTGGCTTCCTCTGAAACACACTTGGTTTTTCTTGCTCTGTCTTCCTTGTTACTACTCAGGCTGCCTGCCTGGGTTCAAGTCCCAGCTTTGTCCCTTTACAGGCTGCACAACCTTCAGCGGATGACTTAGCATCCCTGTTCCTCATCTGTAAAACAGCGGGACACACTTCCTAGGTTGCTCTGTGAATTAAACCACATAATTGCCACAAGGTGTCAAGCACTAGACCTGACAAGCATAGGCCTCAGTGTTCCACATTACAGTTCCTACGCTGTTCCAGCCAGACTCGGTCATGGGTGGAGAACACCCAGACCATTAAACTGAGCCTGTGGCTTTTAACAACTAAGATTGACCCTGTGTTCAACCCAGCTCACCAGAGCTGGGGTTCCCTAACTCCTGACCGAGATAGCTACCCCTGTAACCATATAGTCACAGGGCTCACTGAATGGAGAAGATGAACATTCACTGTGCACCAGAAACAGGGCTGGAAGTATTACTTCACCTAATCCTCACAACCTAATGGGGAAAATACCATTATCCACATTTTACAGAGAAGAAAGCTGCCTGAGCTCCCAGGGATAAAGGCCCAAAACTACTGACCAAAATGAGTTCTTCCTAGATCCAGCCTGGATCTGTCCTCTGCAAAGCCAGTGAGGAGTCCAGAATTCTTGGCCTCCTCAGAGAGGAGGCCTGAGAATCCATGAGAATCCAACTGTTGGGTTTCCCCCCTACATCTGTGAGATCCTGACTTCATAAATATGCTAGAGCCTGTAACCCTGATAAACCGTAAGACACCACTTGTTCTCACTCCTCTTCTCTACTGAATTCCCCAATTCTGGCTCCTATGTTTTTTGCACAGATGATGTCTAACAAGACAAGCTACAGGGTCCTACAGCAAAAGTCACTATGGCCTTGGTTTCTGGTCCTTCAGGGTCTAGCTGTGCAACACCACACCAGTGAGCTGTGCCTTCCCTAAGAAACTCCAAGTGAGAGGCCATTCTATGCCACTAGAGGCTGATTTGACAATATTCCAGATACAGGGCAAGGCAAGAGGCTCTGAACATATCTCCCAAGTTCCCCCCAAAGCATTTTGTCCTGTCAGCACAGCATATTGATTAAGGCCTGGGCACCAAGCCTGCCTCTTCTGCTTACTAACCACACAGGCTGGAGGAAGTCAGTCCACTTCCAGGAGTCTCAGTTCTATCAGCACCTTCTTTGCATTTCTCACAGGCTTGGATTGAGATGTTCAAAGTAAGGTGTTAAGTGGCCTTATGTGTGAGCTACACTCATGCCCCTCTGTGTCTTGCCAGCCATCGACTGCGAGCTCACCGAGTGGTCCCAATGGTCAGAATGTAACAAGTCCTGTGGGAAAGGCCACATGATTCGAACCCGGATGATCCAAATGGAGCCTCAGTTTGGAGGTGCACCCTGCCCAGAGACTGTACAGCGGAAAAAGTGCCGCGTCCGGAAATGCCTGAAAAATCCTTCCATCCAGAAGCTGCGCTGGAGGGAGGCCCGAGAGAGCCGGAGGAGTGAGCAGCTGCGGGAGGAGTCCGATGGCGAGCCGTTTCCAGGTATTGCTCCTCAACGGGAGGCTGGATTCAGGGCACTGTCGAAGCAGGGGAAATGCGAGTGGGTCTTGAAAAACTGACAGGGGCTTGCATCCCAGGCAGCAGAAACAGTACTTGCAAAGGCAGAGAAGTGCCAAAGAGCATGAGACAGTCGATGAAACAGAGGCAGTGGAGCAGAGCCCAAGGGAAGAGGCAGGAAAACAGGCTGCGGTGGGGGGGACTAGGGAAGGGGGGGACCAGACCATAAAAAGTCCAGTGGCCTGCTGAGGATTTAACACTTGATTCTGCAGGCAGTTTTACGCAAGAGGGACTTTAACAGACCTGTGCCGAGTGGTCTGGACGTGGCAAACACAGGCACAAAGCCTAGGTCTATTTGTAGCCCAGGAAAATGTGTCCCCTACCCCAGCATTTGAAAAAAAGAAAAAGAAAAAAGCCAGCCTTGGGCTTCACTGTTGAATAAGCTGGTCCACAGGCAAGGACTGCAGTATCATTAGCAATCAGATGAGATACTGAGTTGGAAAGACTCATGGTTCAGTCCTGGGTACAGACAATCGATGGTGTTTAGATTCCCTGGAGTGGATGAGGAAGGTACCATGTAAAGTTAAAGGTTAATGGGTATGGAGTTTTTATTTCAAAAGGCACAGCTCAAGTTAACCCTTTTTCTCTTTAAGACATTTCACCTCCAGCTCACCAGAGCTGGGGCTCCAGCTAAGACAAAGAGAAAAATGCAGATCATGAAACGCTCCCCGATAGTTCCCTTCCTTTCTGTTAAGAAGCTGTGCACGTATCCGAGTGGTGTCTGTTGGACAGTATAGTCAGTCAGTCACTCAACAGATGTTCATTAAGCCCAACTATGTGCCAAGTAGGCACTGTGCCATGGTCTTCTCCATGAAACTTAGCATAGTATTGGATGGATAATCATAACCGTGCTTGGTTATACGAGAGTAACATAGAGGGCCATGGAAACATTTTTTCCAAAAGATCTAACCTAACCTCTGGGAGTCAGGGAAAGGGTTTTTGTTTTAGAGAGAGAGAGAAAGAGCACACGCACGAGCAAGCGGGAAGGCGGGGGTGCAGTGCAGAGAGCAGCTCAAGCCGAAGCCCCATGAGCCCAGAGCCCAACACAGGACTCCGTCTCATGACCCTGAGATCATGACATAGGCCGAAATGAAGAGTCGGACACTTAACTGACCAGGTGCCCGAGGGAAGTTTTAAGGCAGCCATATTTACCTGTGTAGAGGCAATAAGAAATTATACCTGGGTTTATAGGAGGCCAAGTACATGGGGAGCAAAGCATTAGGAGAAAGTGGTTAACCGCAGCCACAAGCCGCCCCAAAATAATCACTACTGTGATTCCTGGGCCAGGGACTTGGGGTGGCTCAGCCAGATGACCTTCTGAGGTCTGGGTGAGACCCATGAAGCTCCAGTCAGCTGGAGGCTCAATGGAGCTGGAAGGTGTAGACCGGCCTCACCTGCACTTCTGGGGCCTCCACAGGGCTGGCTGGAGCCTCCCAGTAGTTTAGCCAGCTTGCTTATGTGGTGGCGGAAGTGTTCCCAGCAGCTTTTTTCCAAGCCCTGTTTGCTCCTGTCCCATTGGCCAAAACAAATCCTACAGCCCAGCCTAGATTCTGGAGGTGGAGATGCGGACTCCTGCCCTTGATGAAATGCTACAAAGCAGGATCAGTCATTTCTGGCTGGCTGTCAGAGGGGCACAAGTTCCCTAATAAGGATTTGAGCCATTGTTAAACTCAACCTATCATTTCATTCAAGAGCAGGGAAGCCTAGACCCTTCAGCCTGACAGCTGTGTACTGGAGTTCAGCATTCGGGGAGGTCTCCCCATGTCTGCTGCCCTAACTGGGCTTTCCCATGCTTCCAGGCTGCAGGATGCGCCCGTGGACAGCCTGGTCGGAATGCACTAAACTGTGTGGCGGCGGCATCCAGGAACGCTACATGACCGTCAAGAAGAGGTTCAAAAGCTCCCAGTTTAGCAGCTGCAAGGACAAGAAGGAGATCAGAGCGTGCAATGTGCACCCTTGTTAGCCAGGGTGTAAGTGGTCCAGGGCTGCACCCTAGATTCGTACAGTCGCCAATGGCTGGAGTGTCTGTCTGCTTGTTGTTTAAGGCAATTTAAATTGTATATGCTAGTGTTCATTTCTGCAGTCCGGTTCGCCCAGTAGTCTTGTGGAGGCCGGGGCCATCCTTTCTGTCCACAGCTTGGTAGGCACAGGCTGCGTGGGGCGCCCTCCTCCAGCACAGAAGTGAGAAGTGCCAGCCCCCCTGTCCTAGACGGAAAGGTGTCCCACCTGGGGGGCACACAGAAGCCTGGCCTCCTCCACAGGGAGGCAGCTGGGGCTGGAAGGGACTCCCAGATCTCAGTCTCGGGGTACAGCAGGGAGGAAGTTGTCCTGCTGAGACGGAGAGCACAGATGCCTCTCGTTCTTGCCTTCGGCCTGCTTGCTCATGTAGGAACCTCTTGGTCTGCCCATGTCCTTTCATTTAGTGGAACTTTAGCTCCTTTGTTGAGTCTCCTTGTGGGGAAAACAGCTGGTAGACATGAAGAGCACTGATAGAGGGTGGCTTTTCTTCCAGAAATTCTGAAGTTCTGAATACATTTATCTCCCCTTCTAATGTTGGTTCCTGATATCCCAGAGAAAGGAAATGATGGCTGCTTTACTGGAATGTAAGGTCGCCAGTTATTACACCTGAGGTAAAAGGTACTAAGTCTAGGAAGTATTTTTCCCTAGCTTTCTTCTTCTGTGTGTCACAATTCTCCTGGGAAGCCAGCCTTCTAAACCTTCTGACCTCATCCTTACTAGAAACAAGGCAGCAAAACTGGCCTCCCTAAGCAGTCCCCAGCCTGAGCTTTTAATATCTTCGGACACACACACCTAGCCTTTTTTTTTAGTTAACAGTGTCTGCCCCCATCCCACCAAGCCACTGTTTGAACAAAAATACTATCTATACTTTGAAGAGTCTGTTTTAAGCCTAAAGTTTTAGATGTAGAAAGATAAAGTATTTCAGAAACCAAGCAAGACAGAAATCGAGGGAGAAAGGAATAGTACAGAATTGGGCTGGGTAGGAAAATCTGGGGAAAGCCAAACTTTACCTGGGCTTTCCACACCAGGGCTCTGGTCCTCCAAGGCCATGGTTTTCCCCTTCTGAGCACGCATCAGCATCAAATTCAGGGATTCTCACTATCAACAATTCGTGTAAGAAGACATTTTTACTGAGCTGAGTACAGCAGCTGTTTTTATTCATTCGTTTATTGTTAAAACTTTCATTTCTGTTGCAGGTTTATCATTACGCTTAGTCCAAATATGTACCATGGATGAGATGCATTCAGTGTCTTGAGTACATTACTTTAAGAATATGCATTAAACACATCAGGATATTTCCAAACACCACACATATATGATATAGCCCTGAATCTTCAATAAAAAACTCATTTGGGTCTGTCTTCGTGTTTTTAAACTATTAAGTGTTCAGAAGGTTGGGCCTTTTTCAGTTAGCCCACTGATTCATATTCGGCATAAGATAATGATTTTTGCTCCCTCGTTGGAGAGGGACCATTATTACCACATCCCAGAGTCTTCTGGAACTTTGAGTTGTGTCCCGTATTATCTTTGTAATCTTTAAATGAATTATCTTGCCCCACAAAGGAGCATAATATAAAGAAATAAGAGGTTTAATTTGGACAGAAAGTCTCGATACAGAATCTGCCCACTTGTGCAACATTATGCCTGGCATACTTATTTTTAACACACAAAAATCAAAGTTCCACACATCAGTGATTCCTATATAAGTCTAAGAACAAGCCACCCTAGTGTCTCGTGTTCTTATCAGGTCTCTCTAGGATACATTTTAAGTCCTAATTGTGGAGACTTAAAACCAGGTAACTGGTTAATGGCTGAGAATGGGTAACCTGTTTCTTGTTACGTAAGTGTTATTTCTTTTGCAAGGGGGAATTTATAAGAAGCATCAAATCTCTTTCTTACCAAAGTCTTGGGTCAGGTAGTTTATAGTTTTCCTGGCTAACCAATCCTTTTGGAAATAAAGATTTTTTTTACTACAACAATGAAATGTTTCAAATTCCACTTGAGATAATAAACTGCTCATAAGACACCCAGTAAGAACCGCCACATAAAGGGGAGCTACAATTGTTGTATGTATCATCAATGGCAAACTAGCTGTAACCCAATTTACATTCACATTTTAAAAGGACAGTAAGATTAGAGATCTATTCCCCAAGCAGACAATGGGTCACTCACCTGCCACCTTCCTTGCCACTGCATTAATTGAAGGAAATCTGTTGTAACAAAAGAGAATAAAGCCTGGGCTTCTTCAGACCCAGAACGGAAAAAAAATTAAAGATATCGTGCTATGCTTACAATTTAAACTTTGTGTATTAAACATGTCTTAGGCATACTCAGAAGTCTGTATACTTCTTACATATGCTCACAAGACTACAATTCTCCAGAAACTTAGTACAGGTCAAATCTGTGGCTAAAATGTCAATACACAATAATTCTCTATATCTATCTAATGATCTCTGTGACCTAACAACAGCCCACATGTTTCAGGCAAGAGATTAAAGGAGCTAAATATTACAGTGTACCAGGATGGTATGTCCCTTTCCCCCTTACCCCAAGTTAAATACACCCTTAAGAAATGGACACTACTGTCCAAGTAAGAGTAAACATACATGTTTAATCCCTAATTACAACACAGAATCAAGGAAGACACATTCACCCCACTCTTTGGTTATTTGGTGCTATTAATTTTAACAATGCAGTGATTGATGTCATTCTTCATATCGCCCAAAGTAGGGAGAATGAGTGAAATAAATTAGTCTCTTTTGAAAAGGAGATGCTGTAAAACTATAAATAGCAACTGAATGCTAATGAGCATGAAGATAATTCTTCAATTTGAATCCTTTGAAATCTGTGAGCAAAAGATCTGTACAAAAATGTCAGATTTAAATAACAGCATCCCTGCTTTAGATCCCTGTGGGTTTGGAAAGTTTTATACACTCAATGGGGAAGAGAGGCAAGAAGTCCTGCCATGGCTGAGCACAGGGAACCCACGTTCAAACCACTGCTGTGGTCCTGAGGAGCCATGAGAGCGGAAGCCAGGTACTTCCCGTTTTCTGGCTCGGGCTCTGACACACACGGGCTCACACTAGAGGACTTCTCCACCCCATCTCCCCGGTTAAGCTAGTTCTCATCCTGAGAACGAGTCGTGACGGCACGCCGATGGAGGAGTCCCTGGATGCCAGTTTCACCCCACCAGCCCCCCACTTCTTCAGAAACCAGTAAATGCCCACTTTGTGTTGAAGCTGGCCTGACTTGCATCTGTCACCTCTAACTGAAAATGTCCTGACAAAGTATACATGCGATACTTTCAACCCGGCTCTCATCAGACCAAAATGCAATTTCAGATTTTTCATTTAACATTTACAATGTTGAACATAAGATAGCATTCATTAACATTTTCTCATACTGCTCTAAATTCTCATGAAATTCAGAACATGTTCTTAACCACTTCCTGCCCTTAGAACTGACTGGTAATAGTTCTCATATTCGAGGATTTCTCATATGTCAGTTAACGGTTCTCACATTTTAACTATTATGTCTTTGAACAGTTTTCTTTTACTTCCAATGATTCTAAGTATTAGCAGAAGGGAAGAGGGCAAACATCGTATTCAAGACTACTGACTCCTTTAGAAGACCTGATGTTTATAAAAGTAGAATTTGTATTTTTCCTGTTTAAAAAAAAAGTTGAGTCTGTGTTTTTAGGAGGCAAGCATTTCCTACTGCGATCTTCCCCTGGAATTCACGAGCCTAAGGAAGCCAGAAGGAGCACTTGTGAAAAATACCTCAATCTCCTGCTCCCTTACCCACTACATTGGTGCTACGCAGAGACGTGCAGCCTGCGAACCTCCACCAACCGTCACCAGCCTACAATGAGATACAGAAATTGAAAATGAGTGTTCAGAAACTTTTATAGTCATTCATTTGACATTGCCACAATATCCAGGAGTATGATTATTTTTCTAAGAGTTGGATTTTTTTAAATTAACATTTAGCAAAAGTATCATTCCCCCACAGTGGGAAGGAACAAGTTTTCAAACTGGCTGTTCCCGAGACAGTCTCAGAAGTGCAGAACTGCATGCCGCTCACAACCCCCAGGCAGAAAGGGATCTCCCCACCCCACCCTGCCCCACAAACTGTCAGCCTCTGGATGTCTCCAGAGCATCTGTGTCTACCGGCAATACCTACCTGCAGACCTTAAACCTACTTATCTAGGATTAAGGACCAGGCCCTGGCTCTTCTTACTCTAACATCCAACCATATGCAAGCAGGATAACTGCCCTATCGCCCTCTGATTTTGCCACAGAATTTCTCAGAACGGTAGCCCACACTTCCTCCACTTCCTTGTCCTCCAATCACACCACAACCCACTATAATCTGGTTCCCACAACCAGATGACACAAAACTTTCGAAGTCTTCAGCAACATCTACACAATCACTGCTGCCTCTTACTCCCCACCACGTCCCACCCCCATATCCGTACAGTACTCACACCTTCTGACCGGCCCCTTACCCCTTAGCTTCTTCGACAATAATCTCCTGGGTCTCCAGTTTCCGGCTGCTTTTCTTGGCTTTGTGCTGCCTTTTACTGTTTTATCCCCAAATGTTCATCTTCCCCAAAAGTTTTACCCTTGAATCTTCCCTCAAATAATCTCTACTTCAAGCAACTCCCACCTCTGTAATCACCAGATCAAAATAGATAAATTCCCAACCTGCACTTGCAATCCTAGCCTCCTCTTTGGAGCTCCAATTTGCATTCCCGAATGCCTCCTGGACTCACCCTGCATGTACCTGCCACAATCACCATGTATTTCTGCCACTAGAGAGTTGCCTGTGTGCCTTAACCATTCATCAAATGGTTTTTCTGCACATGCCAGGCAATGTGGGTAAAGCAGTAAACACAGATGTGCTCCTGCCCTCACAGAGACTATGACACTCAAGTACAGATCAGACAAGACAGATAAAATCCTCATCTATGATGTGCCCCTAAGTAAATACAGGGCAATGTGGTGTTATAGGGGGCTGGTCTAAATTAAAAGCAAAAGGATAAAACACCTAATTGGAATAGTCAAGTCAATCAGTGGTCTGGGAAACTCTGGCATGCTACAGGGTTTAAGAGAGCACATCAGCCTGAGTGTGAGAAGCAAGGAAAGGACAGATCCTGCAAGGAGCTTGCTTTGTACACTATGGGAAGGAATCTGGGTATTAGTCCAAGAGCAATGAGGTGATGACAGATTTTAAGCAGTACCGTAACATTTAATTTATGGCCTTAAAAAAGATCCCTTTAGCTGTATTTACAGAACAGCTTTGTGGGGGCAAAATGCAAATAAAAAGACTACTTCAAAGGCCATTGCAATAATGTGGGGGGCAGAACAAATTGGAAAGAGACAGTCCATGACTCTAACAACCTCCTACCTGATCACCCTTCCTCAGAACCACGCTGTCATCCATACTGCTAGATTAGATCCACGCACTCCCTGTTCAGAATCCTTGGCAGTTCCCCATTACGTACAGAAGGGCCATCCTATTTAAAGCTCTCTACAACCCAAGCCTGGTCTACTTTATCATTATTTTTTCCCATTGCACTTAGAATCATTTTAGATTAAGGTTCCAATCCCAGAATACTCCCTGCATTCTGACAACTCTATGTCTTTACCCAGGCTTTTCCCCAGCCTTCCGTCCCATCCCCTCTCTTTTCCTCTCCTCCCATCTGAGACCCCACCAATCCATATTGCTCTGGCTAAAGCACTGCTTCTAAGAAGCTCCCTCACCTCTTCCAGAAGGGACATTACCATCTGCAGGACCGGACAGCCTTATGCATGCTTCTCACTCTCCTTTAACTATTGCCCTGGCACTTGTCTTCTCACTCGCAGTCGTCCTCCACTAGATACCAAAGTTTATAGGGAGGAAATGTTCCACGTTTATCCATTTCCCAGAACACCTAATGAAGTCCTGCACAAAGACATCCGTTCAAATTAAAATGCCTTTTTTCTAAAAAAGCTCCTTGATGCTTTATATGCAGTTACTGGTTAAATACTCTTAAGTGGTCAAGTGATACTGAAAATAACCACTTTATTATCACCTATCCTATTTATCTGCCAGCTGGCTATTGAATGAGGTCATTTACGTACAGGAAAGGGAAAAGAAATAAAACTGGTAGTGATGAAAAGTCAGAAGAGGAACAACGTAGATCTGATGTATATAGAACCTTATTACAGCAAATTCTAAAAGTCAAATGATAAAGGGACCGATTTATATGTTAAAATTTTGAAGCTCCAAATTTAAAGGAATCATCAGTGTAAGATGTAAGGCATAATGTCCAACCCTGAAATACTGTAAATCCCTAAACAAATAACATAGAGACAAAATTCCTAGGATAGAATTCGTGACTCTCAATTCAGGAAATACTGTTTGAAAGAATTTTCACATCTATAAAGAGAAGAGATTCTAAAGTTGGGACTGTGATCTCAAATGCTACATGTGCTCTAGAGCAAGACTGGCAAACCATGGCCCACAGATCAAATCCAATCTGCCATCTGTTTTTGTACAGAACAGTTTTTACAATTTTAAATGAATTTTTTTAAAAATTCAAAAGAAGATTAACATTTTATGACATGAAAACGATATGAAATCAAATTTCAGTGTCCCCACATAAAGTTTTATTGGAACACAGCCACACTCGTTCATTTATACACTGTTTATGGTGGCTTTGGTGATACAATGGCAGAGCGGGGTAGCTGGGACGTAGACCATACAGCCCAAAGAACCCAAGATGACATTTATACCGTATGGTCCTTTAAAAAAAAAAAAATTTTTTTTTCCCAATCCCATAGCTATAGAGGAAAAAAAATGGGTCACACAGACAAGGATTATTCATGCCCCAAGACTGGCCATTCTTTGTTAAAAACAAACAAATAAGATTTCAAATCGTAAAATAAGAGGGCTACAAGGCACCTCTGATTGTATGACAGATCAAATGAGAGAGACTTCAGCTTCCGAGAGAGAAGTAACAGGAAGCAGATTTATCTTCCTGCCGTAGACAACCAGAAAACTGGAATTAGTATGTGAAACACCTATTTTCACCATTATATATACCAGACAGCACAGGACTACCATCTCTGATGGGAGAGAAACAAAAAGGTAAGCCTTAAGATTGCCCTGACTACAGAGTAGAAAAGGGATTCCAAGCAGAGCATAAATGTTTCCCTAAGCTGAAAAGACAGATACTGGAGATCTGTCCCAGACATTGGGAGTTTGAGGCAACAGAAGCTGCAGGGCAAAGTTGTGGAGGGGAGAGAGCTATACAGAAAAAAAGAACTCCAAAAATATGCATAGGGTCTCAAGTCTTTCCTGGATATTAAGATATCCATATATAGGATGAAACTCCTGAGGCTGGGCAAAGGATGATCCAGGAGCTATGGATAGAATGGTCGCCCAGAGCTCACATGGGCTGGGAATTGTTTGGTTCCCATTAGCCAAACTGGAGAGTCCTCACTGATTACAAAGGGCATTCAGTAGAGACACTAAGAAGGCCACACCTTAGTAGGAAAGCTAAACCATCCGTGGTGAAGGAAGATACTTGAGACTGTGTGAAGTTTAAAAGCAAGCCTTGAAAGAATTAAGCTGAACTATAAGTAAATCAACTACTGGCGGCGGGGGGGGGGGGGGGGGGGGCAAATTTTAGATGAAGACAACAAAATCTAGGCAACCAACAACAAATAATATACAACGTCCAGCATCCAATTAAAACTTACTAGACATGCAAAAAACAAAACAACAAAAAACCCAGAAGCATGTGACCCATAACTAGAGAAAAACCAGTCAACAGAAATAGATCCAAAAATTATAAAGATAAGGACTTTAAAACGGCCATTATAGCCATGTTCAAATATTCAAAGCAGCCTTTCTCAATTCTCCCAAGGATGATACACAGCTAGAACCAACCCAGATGCACTGAAGAGAAGTTAATTCACTGCACACCACAGCAGATAAGACATTAGACTCAATTCCCTGGGAACTCCGTTGGAAGGGACTGGGTAAGAGAAACACCTGAGCACAGTGAGAGAGATGGAAGATATTTAAAAAAAAAAAACAAAAAACTTCTACGGAAGAAAAAAGAACACGAAGTCTCAAATGAAAAATTCATTAAATGTTATTAATAGCAGATGAAACAACGGGAGAAGAAAAGGCTGGGGAAGTTGAAGATGTAGCAACAAAAAGTATCCAAAGTGAAGCCCAGAGAGAAAAGAAAAGTAAACTATTAAAACAAAATTTAACCTTCAAACTGCTTTGCTATAAGTCATCTATTCAGAATAAAATTAAAGGTTTCCCATTCAATCTACCTATTACATGGACAATCTCTTGTTATTTGAAGTTACCTATGATAAACAAAAAACGTTCCCAACTGAAAGTCCTAACAAGGATATGTGATAGCACTACAGTGTCAAAACCCACAGGGTAACTCCAGTACCTTCCTGGGCAGTGATTTTAACGAGCATTTAAATAAATGTGTGCACTGTGCTTCCGCTGTTCTAGGCTGCTTCTTCAGAGGAGTGTATGTGTATGTATTCAACCTCCTCTCTCCTTCAGAGATGGGGTTTCTGTCAGGGGCACGTCACAGAAAAAGTTTAAGAAATGCCAACTCCAGAAAATATTCAGGAAATCCCTAAGAACACCAAGTCATTTCACTTCAAATTCACCTACTAAATAACCAATTCTGATTTTTAGATGCAAACCCTAAGGCATTGTTGGAAAAAGGCACAGAACTAGCTACTGACGTGTTTCTTCCAATACTGCCGTTCCTCCAAGAAACCACCCAAATAACAAGTCATCAAACCTTATCTTGTGATAACAGATCAATTTTAATTCTAGCACCTGAAGCTATACAAGGGTATGCTTTATCAACTTCATGGGACTGTTGTACACATTTAATAAAGTGACAACTGTGCAATACCACTTAGTATCTCACAATCAGGAACATACTTTTGAATTGTTTAAACACAATCCACAGAATTAAAAACAAAATCAGAAGCCATCCACAGTTATACTAATTGTCAATTAAAAGTTTTACACTTACTACTTGATACAACAGCCAATACCTAGTATGGTGTCTCAAAAGTGACTTGAGTCTCATCCTGTTGTCATCTATGGAGAAGTTTTCTCGAGCAGATACGTGACTGGCCAGAGGTGGGCGCCACCAGGACCAGGACCAGAACGGCAAGTAAAGTTCTACCACAGTTTCCGTAGTTTTCTCTTTTTTTCTTTGTCAGTTAAAAGTGAACAGTGAGAATTAAATACTTATCTTTACATATACACAAGGTATGCTGTGAAAGCATATTTGCTTACAAACATATAAAAATACTTGTTAACTAGTTTGATAAGAAAATAATGTATAAAAGTATATAGCAAAAACATTAATCATCTCTGACCTCGGAAAGATCAATTCCATATTTTATATTACAAACAAAAAACAGTTTTAATTTTTTTGAATCCCTTATCCACAAATACTTGAAAAGGAAGACAGACAGAAATTATTTATTTTTACTCTCGACATGCCTGTGAAAAAAGAGTTAACTTAAAAAACCAAGAACATTGAAATGCCTAAGTCCAGAATAAGTCCAAATATCTGGCCACATAGAACATTATTATCATCTTTAGGAGCAGAGCACTTAAAAAGGCTTCATACGCAGATTCTAATGTATAAATACAATAGGCGTTTGGTATTTTGGCCATGGGAAAACAAAGGCTGTAGCATTGGTAAAGGTCTGAGATGTCTCACTTTTGTGGATTCAATTCAGTGTATTTAAGGTTAACTAAAGTTGACATTAAAATTTTTAGAGATAGGCAAAAATTCACATTTTAAAAAAAACTCCTCACTTTTCTATTTAGAGTAATAATAGGAAATATGATTCCAGAAGTTAAAAGTTATTTCGCAACCTATGACTTCAGCTTGGCAAACAGCATAGGTTCCAAAACTGATTCATCCCCTATTAAAATGTAAGCCCTTAAAAAAGAATGTGTCTGTGTATATAGATCAGTATTTTTAAGGAATCAGATAATCTTTGAAGCAGCCTTAGTGTTTCCTTTAAATCTGTCTTGAAATGACCATAGGATTAGCTTCACAAGAAAGGATTAGCCAGCTTCTTGGTCTAAGGCTACCACGGTGATCATTTGTCTAAGGCTAGAAAGGTACCAACATGATGTGATGTAAACCATAAAGAGAAAAGGAGAAGATGAGGGCTTTTCCTGGCAGTTGGTAGCTACAATTCAAGGGATTCTTAGAAAATGACACAATGGCAGCCTTTCTTGTCTTTTTCTTTCCGTGTTGGTTCTGGTGAAGGAGGACATTCCTGCTCTTGAAATTTCCTGTAAGACAGAAAAATCTACATATAATTGTCTTGCTGGTAATACTACAAATATATTATTTTTGGACAAGGCTAGCTTATGTGCTTATGCTTCTCAATGTTGAATTTCAACTAGGGAATCAAAGCAAATCTTTGAGGGGGAAAAAGGGCACAAATATTTCAATACCAGCATAAGCAGAGCTGAGTTTCATGGATAGGTGAGTCCTGAATCAGACTGAGATACTGAACTCAGTGACCTCTAAGTTCCCTTCCCAATTTGAAATTTCCTGACTATAAGGTATACTTGAGAATAAGAGTCCACTGGGGCGCCTGGGTGGCTTACTCAGTTAAGCATCCAACTCATGGTTTCAGCTCAGCTCGTGATCTCCAGGTCATGGGTCAAGCCCCAAGTCTGGCTCTGAGTGCAGCATGAAGCCAGCTTCAGATTCTCTCTCCCTCTCTGTCCTGCTCACTCTCTCTCTCTCAAATAAACAAAATATTCTTAAAAATAAAGAAAGAATAAGCATCCACTGCTAGAGTAGAATATAAAGTACGAGATACACAGTTCCTATGCCTGTTCTGCCACTTACTAGCCACAAGTCAGCACTAGACAAATCAGCTAACGTCTATGGAGCCTCAGTTTTTTAGAAGGCAATAATAAACTCTACTTTCCACAGTTGCTATGAGGATCTAAGAAGCTCCTGTTATGTTTAAAGGCCTATCAGTGCCTGGCACAAAAAAGCCTCCTCGAGGGGCACCTGGCTGGCTCAGTAGGTAGAGACTCTTGATCTCGGGGTCGTAGTTCAAGCCCCATGCTGGACAGGGAGCCTACTAAAAGTAAAAATAAAATTAAACATTTTTTTAAAAAACTTCCTCTACCCACTCACTCCTCACTCCAGACTGACTGACGGATATGAATATAGATTCGAAGGATCAAAACCCAGGGCCAAATATTTCAAAAGGCAGTAAAAGTGACATTAAGAAGGCACTGATTCGTGTGCACACGAAACCATGTTAAAATACACATAACAAAATTTAACATCTTACCCATTTTTAAGCATTCGGTTCAACAATATTAAATATATTCACAATGTGGTACAACCATCACCACCATTCACCTCCAGAACTCTTCTTACAAAGCAAACTCTGTACTCATTTAAAAATGGAACTCGTACTTTTAACAAACTACTAATAAAAAACTATAAACCTTACTTCTCTTTCCCTACAAAGAGAATGCCCATGCAAAGAGCTAAAAAAGCCCAGGAAGCCCATAGCGCAGATGCTGATTCCCCGCACACTCACAATTAACCCCAGCTCACTCCATATAGCTGTCAGACAGAGACTAGCAGACCTAGAGAGCCCAGGGTGAAGTAGAGGCCAAGCCACCAAGGCTAAAAATAATCAAATTAAACCCCTCCCACTCTAAAGCAACTCAATCTTTCTCACACAGTAACCAACTCCAGGTGACCTCACCCATCACCTCAAGCTTCCTGGAACCATTAACACTTTCTGAACCACAGGGGCCCTCTAGGCCAGCAGACAGAAAACCCCTTGGTTATCTGAGATGTCACACTTGACCCCACCAACGGGAGGCCTGACTCTCCAGCACCTGGCTCACTGTCCGCCTGGGAAGACGTGGGGATGGAGCAAAGCTGAAGAGCACAGGCTCTGGAATCAGAGACACGGATTTGAGTCCCAGCCCTGCCGTTTAACGCCAAAACTCTGAGCAAGTTAACTCACCTTGATGTACCTGCTTTCCCATCCGAAAGTCAGGATAGATGAAAGTATTTAGCTTACTGGGTTGTGGTGAGCATTCAGTGTAGTGATACCCGTGAAGTATGAGGCACAGTGTCTGGCAGAGATTTCCACTCAAATGTCAGCTATTGTCCTCACTATCTTCACGCTATGGACACCTCTGGAAGTAGCACAGATTCTTCCCAAAATCTCTATGTGTACTCTCTCCTTCAATATAATTAAATTTGGTTTTATATGTAGGAAATACCTCGTATACAGTATGTCCTTAATGAAAATCTGTAACATGCCTTGGGTGTCAACGCCTAGCACAGAAGTGCTTCTACATACAGCTTCCCTTCTTAAACGCTGAGTAGCAATTTCTTTCTCAGCTTATGGTTTTCAAAAGCACAGTGTAATTACCTGTTAAATCCCATAAATTAAAACAAACTTCCAAGATGTGTCTCGCGTACCTTATAACCCGGACAAGTTCGTGGAAAGCTTGATCTACGTTCATCCTCATCTTGGCTGATGCCTCCATGTACGTTACCTTCAGCTGTCGTGCCAACTGCTGTCCTTCCTCCTGTGTTACCTGAAATCCCAAGAGTCGTATTTGAGGTCCAGAATTAAAAATCAGATCTGCTCCATCTAATCCTTGGCCATGCACTGCGTTGCTAATCCAGCCAGCAAGCTGAGCTGCTTTTTCGTAAGATAAACAGAGACTCACAAGCTCAATACGAACCGGAGCCCGTCTCTGAAAAACAGCTCACTGATGAAAATACTACCTGACAACAAGATCTCAGTCTGGTGGTCAATCAGCAAGTGTTAAATACAATGGTGATAAGTTCTGGGAAGGAAAAGTACAAGGTGTTGGCAGACTCTTTCACCCTGCTGGGCAGATCAGGGAAAGCTTCCCTGGGAATGACGTTTAAATCAAGAACTAAATAAAGATTAGGGGGTGCAGTGGGGTGGGCTAAGTATCCCTGACAAAAGATAGGGCAGGTGTAAGAGCCATGGGGAGCCTGCCCTTTCCAAGTTCCAGGCACTACACGAAGTCTAGAAAACAAATACGAGAAGCCAAGAGAGAAAATAATAAAGAGGTGAGGACGGAGAGGACGGAAGCCTCGAGAGGCCACGGGTCTTCCTCATCTCTGCATTCCCCAGTAGCCGGTACATAGGACATGCTCAGTAAATACATGAGAAAAATGAGCAATGATTACGATCACAATGTCTTCCGTATACTAGGATGTGAAGGGTGGCAGAACGAACATCCTAAAACGGTAGGGAAGAGTAAGAAAAATAAAATGACTGTGATGCCCTATACATTTTCAGCGTAAAAGGCTGAAAGTCATGACATTTACCAAAAACTGCTAAACTGCATCACATTTACATAGTGTGGCTGAAAACTATTTTTCCAAAACAGTGACTTTTATTGCTGTCATTACCACAGAAGTAAACACTCGCAGAGACGCTAGAAACTGCAGACTGGGGGAGAGGGTGGACTCAAGAATGTTATCTCCCACAGAGAACCACATTTTTCTGGTCTTTTTTCAGTGAGGTACCTTCATCTCTACAAAAATAGAATCATGACTTGTATATTTATGTTATACCCTGGAACTATGTTAAACTCAATTATCTGGGTGCTCTTTCATAAATTCCATAGGCTTTTCTACAGGATCATGTCGTTTGCGACGAAAGTCGGTTTTATTGCCTCTTCTCTATTGTGGATGCCTTTCATTTCTTTTTCTGGCCGGACCTCCCAGCCTAGCACATTCAGAGCCACGCCAGCAGCATTCAGTCCTTCCCCATGAAGCACACTGAATGGTATAGGGCTTCACTTCACATGCCCTTTACCACGTGAACAAAGTTCCTGCTATTCCATCTGTAAAGAGTTTTCAACAGGATGTTACATTTCTCAAATTTTTTTTTCTTCACCTACTGAGATCATGATTTTTCCACATTGGTTTATTAACATGGTGAACTGTGTTGATTCATTTTTGCCTGCTAAGTCAACACTGCATTTCTGGAGTAAACCCCACTCAAGTAATGGTGCACTGTCCTCTTCATATACATACTGTTAGATTCTATTTGCTAGAATTTTAAGAATTTCTTACATCTGCGTTCACAAGTATTATTGGACTATAGTCCTCTTACATCTTGGTCTGGCTTTGGTATCAGAGTACTGTTGGCTTCATATGAGGAGTTGGAAAGAATCCTCTCATCATCAATTTCTGAACACTTTCAGCAAAATGTTTGGCATAATTCACCAGCAAATCCACCTGGGCCTGGGATTTTCTCTGAGGGAAGGTTTTTATAACCAGTTGAATTTATTTTATAGATACAGCACTATTTGGGTTATCTATTTGTTTCTTGAATTTTGGCAGTTTTTTTTCTTGAATTTTGGTAGTATTTTAAGAAATATGACTATATCATCTAACTTGCTGAATTTATTGATATAAAGTTTCTTTACAGTATGGTATTTCTTCATGGCACAGTATTTCTTTATATAGTATTTATTTTATTTTCAGTATCTGTAAGATCTGAAGTGATGGAATCTCTTCCATTACTAACACTGGTAATCTGTGCTTTGCTCCTTTTTCACCTGGTCATTCTGGCTAGATTTGTCACTTTGACTAATCTTCTAAAAACCAGATTTATCTTTCTATGGATTTTTTATTTTCAATTTCATTGATTTCCATTCTTCTTTATTTCCCTTCCTTAATTACTACGGTTTTAATTTGCTTTTTTCTTCTAGTTTAGGTAGAAATTAGCCTTTGAATGGAGCCTTTTTCTTTTCTAATAATAACCACTTTATACTATAAATTTGTATTTTCTTCTTTGGTAGCATCTCAAATTTTGATATGTTGTTTTAATTATAACTTGGTTCATAATACTTTATTAAATAATTTTCCTTTTGATCACTTCTTCGTACCAAGGGTGAGTTAAAAGTTTGTTGGTTTCTCCATATTTAGGGGTTTCCTAGATAGGTTTCTGTTACTGATTTCCAAGTTAATTCCACCATGGACAAGGAACATACCTGGTCTGACTAGAGTCCTTTTAAACTTACTGAGACTTGTTCTCATTTCAAAATAATGTGTATTCCACTGTAGTTGGGTGGAGCATTCACTAAATGTCGGTTAGAGTAAGTTATTCGATAATGTTATTCAAGCCGCCAAGATCCTTACTGACTTTCTACTTAACTACTCAGAGCAGTGTTGAAATTCTGACTATGAGTATGTCAATTACTTGTTGCAGTTCTTTCAATGTTTGCTTTAAGAATTTCGAAGTTGTTGGGACACCTGGGTGGCTCAGTCGGTTGTTAAGTTTCTGCCTTCGGCTCAGGTCATGATCCTAGCATCCTGGGGCTCAGGATCAAGGCCTGCATCCTGCTCCCTGCTCAGCGAGGAGCCTGCCTCTCCCTCTCCTTCCACGTGGTGCTCCCCTTGCTTGTGGGCACTCTCTCACTTTCTCAAATAAATAAATAAATAAATAAATAAATAAATAAATAAATAAATAAATAGAATCTTTTTTTTTTTTTTAAAGAATTTTGAAGTTGTTATTCAGTATATGAATGTTTAGGATTGTCATGTTCTCTTAACGAATATTAATCTCTTCATTATGAAACAATCCTCATTACTCCTGGTCATCTTCTTTGCTCTGAAATGGCCTTAGGCTGATACTTACGTTGCATTTCAACATGCTTTCCATTAGGATCAGCATGGTATATCTTATCCCACCCTTCACTTCTAACCTATTCGCACCTTTACACTAAAAGTAGATTTCTTGTAGTGTCTCACTTTTTTATCCAATTTGATGATGTCTGCCTTTTAATTTAGATTCTCATATTGTTTACTGCTAATGTCATTACGGATACCATGGAGTCATCTTGAATTTTCTTTCCTATTCACCCTATTTGTTCTTTGATCTAACCCTTTTACTGGGTTAACTGTATTGCTCTTAGGATTCCATTTTCTCTCCTTTGTTAGCTAATGAACTATGTATTAAGTGGTTTTAAGGACTGCTTTAGAGATTATGATACACATTTTTCACTCATCACAGTCTAATTCAAATGCTTTACACCAATGCAAGTATCATGTAACAATCTTATTACAATAGTATGTTTCTTCCTTCTGCATTTTATTATTACCTTTTACCTCATAATAGGCAGTTACTATTTTTGCTTTAAAAATCCAATTATAGGGGCGCCTGTGTGGCTCAGTGGTTAAAGCCTCTGCCTTCGGCTCAGGTCATGATCTCAGGGTCCTGGGATTGAGTCCCACATCAGGCTCTCTGCTCAGCAGGGAGCCTGCCTCCTCCTCCTCTCTCTCTCTGCCTGCCTCTCTGCCTACTTGTGATCTGTCAAATAAACAAAAAATCTTAAAAAATCCAATTATATTTTAAAGAGATTTAAATAACAGTAAAAGTAATTTATATTTGCCCACACGACTATCATTTCTGGTGCTCTTTTTTTTTTTTTTTTTTATAGATTCAGATTGCCGTTTGGTATAATTTTCCTTCTTTTCATTTCTTATAATGCAGGTCTGCTGGTAATGAATCCTCTCCCTTTTGTAGATCTGGGCTAAGTTTTTATTTCACCTTCATTTTTTAAAAACATTTTTATTGGCCATTTAATTTTAGATGATTTTCTTCTTTCAATACTTGAAAGATGTTGTGCCACTATCTTCCTCTCCCTTGTATCACTGCCCATGAGAAACCATGATGACTGCTGCCATCTTTAGCTCTGTTCCTGTGATAATAGTTTTCTTTTCCTCTGGTTATCTTTCAGATTTTCTCTTTATCAGTGGTTTTAAACAATGTCATTAAAATATGTGTGTCCTGTGGTAATTTTCCTCATATTTCTTAGGCTCAGGGTTTGCTGAGCTTCATGTGTTTCATAGTTTTCTTCAAGTTTAGAAAATTTTCAGCTATTACTTCTGGCTGTTAATCCCAGCCAGGGTATTTTTCATCTCAGACATTGTAGTTTTAATTTCTGTAAGTCCAATTTTGATCTTTCTCCATCTTCCATGTTTCTACCTACGATATTCAATTTTCAGTGTTCTCTAGCTTCTTGAACATATGGAATATAGTCTTAAGAAATATTTAAGGTATCTGTACACTAATTCTATCATCTGTGTCATTTCTGGGTCTGTTTCTATTCTTTGCTTTTCCTCCTTATTGTGAGTCATATTTTCTTGCTTCTTGCTTGGTTATTTTTAAGTGGATGGTTGGGTACTTAACTTTTATCTATTGAGTTCTAGAAAGTTTATATTCCCATAAATGTTCTTGAGATTTGTTCTGGGATGCACTTATTTAGAAAGTGTGATCTTTTTTCTTACATAGTACCTACAGAATAGATTTCATCCAGAGCTAATTCTGCCCTACTATTGCAACAAAATCCATCTGAGTACACTACCCAAAAACCAAGAATTACAAGGTTTCTCACTCTGGCTAACTAGAATAGGAATTATTCCTAGCCCTATCTGAGCTCAAGGTGTTGTTCCCTTTAGTCTTTTAAGGTAGTTCGTTCTTCCAGTGTAACATTCTATTTTCAAAATTCGGCAACCTCAATGTAGTTTATTAGTTTATTATATT